TACTTATGAAAAATTTCTTTAGAGTTGTTTACCACATGGGATTCTTCTGTTCTTCATATAAATGGCGGTACGGGGAAATTTCTCCTTCTGATTTTCCAAACATATCATAATTATTGGTACTTTAATCTGAATAATTTATTTGTAATCTTTCCATAGTAAATGCATACATCTTTTTTTATTTCGGTATTTTTTAATAAATGTAAATTTCTGTAGCTAATTAAATCGTTCATTTTTTTTTTTACAAATAAAAAAGAATCTTCCTTTGAAGTCCCTTCAAATAAACATGAAAAAGAAAACGAAAAATTCAAAAAAAATTCATAGGGACAAATATTCAAACGTGTATTTTTATTATCTCTTTCCATTTTTAATACTTCTGTAAATATATAAACGGAATATTTGACAAACAAAATAATCACCATAGTTCCATTTTTAAATTTTAGAAAACTTTTAATTAATCGGTATCGATAAAAAAAACAAAAAAAAAACTTAGTTTTCAATTACTATAGTTAAAGTGAAAAATGTTTTGCCTCTCTTACCGAGTATTATGTAGTCACTAATAAAATGTTGGCATATAAATGTTTTAGCGCACTAATCGAAAACTTATTAAACAATATGCATTAATCGAGTGGTTCCTATATTATATACGCAATTGAAAAGAAGCACTAATTGCGATGTCTATTGCAGAATTACTTTGGCGTTTTTCTTTTTTTTTTCTGTGATTTTTTCGCGTCTTTCTCTTTCTATTTATCTATCTCATTTCTTCTACAAATGCTTCGTCTACTGTTTCTGTTTTCACTACTTTTACTTTTACACATATTTCTAATCTTTCTGCATCTCTCGTTTCCTCTCAGTTCTTATATTCTCCACTTTCCTTTTCGAATCATTTCCTCCTCCCCGTTTCAACGACTTAATGGTTCAGCTATAATCCACTGTTTCAACGACTTAATGTTAATGGTAATATTAACCGTCTCCCAAAAGGAAAAAAATTGCCATTCATTGACTGAGTAGCCAGTACTACTGTCAGTTGAAATTTATAAAATCTTTCTTTTAAAATGAGTAGCCAAGAAAAATAGCTTTTTCAAGTCCAGTAGCTGTTATCATTCTTCCCAATATTGATGAGATATTTCCTTCCAAACCTTTTATTTGAAGTCATGTGGAATGCTAACATCTTGTTTATGCAATTATTTACTCTTCGAGGGATATGTGCTAAGCATTTTAGTTGTTGCTGCTGCTGGTAGTCCTCTAGTGATGTGCTTCCTGTTATTTGGTACAATGATTTGTTTGCGAATCTCTAAGGCCAATTCAGACTGTACAAATAAGGATGATCTTTGTCAAGACTCTCAGCTTTCAGCCATTTTAACCAGTGGTCTTAGAAAGTTGTGGCATATATCTAACAGTGAACATATTTCTGAACTGGTTTGGCGTCACACATGACATCCATATGAAAATCACGAGGTTATTTAAGAACCTGACATGCTTTCAATTTAATGTTTTGGTTATGTAGCAGTTTCGTGAAACCACGACTAGCGCCTCCTTTTCTATATTCAATTTCTTTATCTGTTATACTAAATTTATTACAACTGATCCATACACCGAGTTATTTTAAGTGTTTAGTATTTACTAATTTCACATACTGTTTTTATTATAATGGATTCAGGGTAGGTACCATACCTGATTTCATTCAAATTCCAGATCATAGTTTCAGTTTGGGAAAGGTTTATCTCAAGTCCAGTAGCTGTTATCGCTCTTTCCATTATTGATGAGTTCTTCTTTCTAAACCTTCTGTTTGAAGGGGTGTAGAATATTAACATCTTTATGTTATTATTTTCTATTCTAATTACATACGCTATTCATTTTGTTATTACTATTGTTGAGATTGTTTAAGTGATGTGGTTTCTGTTATTTGGTACAGTTCTTTCTTGATTCTGTAGTACCAGACCACAATATTCAAAGAAGGGTGATCTTAGCAAAGACCCTCAGACTTCAATCGCTCAAAGCATTTTTTTCGGCGTTAATCTTAGGAAGCGGGTGTATACTGCTGACAGTTTAGATGTTTCTAATCAGGTTTTGAGCCATGCATTACATTAATATGAAAGTCTATCTGACGAGGCTATTTAAGTACGACACGAGTTTTCGTTTAGTAGCAACTTGCAGTGTCGGGTGAAACTACCTTTAGCGCAGTGTATTCTATGTTCAGTTTCTTTTTTCGGCTATAATTCATTATAATTATTCCATATGCCAAGTTATCTGAAGTGCTTAGTATTACTAATTCCACATCCTGATTTTTTATGATGGATACACGATATGTGCCTCCATTACTTTCATTCCAACTTCAGAACAAAGTTTCTTTTTTGGAACGATATATTTTCGGTTCAGTTTCTTGGAACACTATACAGGATAATGTTTTTCGATTCAAGATTGTTTTTAGCCGAAGTATACATACCTTACATAAAAAGTGGGAAATTACATATATCTGAATTTCCGGAATTGATGCAGGTTCGATCCGTGCTCATGGGTAAAGTCTTATTTTATTTTTCTAATTGTTTACAGATGAACGCCTGTGAGGTTTTTCCGCAATTGCTGGTATTTGCATTTTTGTTAGAAGTGTGTGCCCAGCTTTTATTTATTTATTTGTTTATTTGGAATGCTTCGGGTGTGGGTGTGGATGCGGTGTGAACATCAAATATCAGTACAAAACAAACGGCCATTTTGTTTTCTTCATCACGCCAGAAAACGACAAACAAATGGACGAACAAACAAGGATTTAGCCGAGTCAGATTCGATATGACGCACCTCATAAAACGACACTGTACTACAGTCACAAACGTTCGTTTTTTTTTTCTTGTTGAACGAGCTACAAAGAAACATCGACGGGGATATAATCGAATGATATAAACGATTGAAAAGAAAGAAAAAATACTGCGAGAAGGACCAAATAAAAACAAGAAAATGAGCGGGAAAGACAAAGAGGCTTGGAATGCTAAAATGTGTTTTGATGGGTTTAGATTTGTGGCAATGTGGTTTGCGAAGCCATTTTTATAAACAAGGCTGGTGAGCTTTTGTGAAATTATAACATAATCTCTCCACGCCTCTGATATTTTCCTTATTCCGAAAAAAAAATTTGTCTTTATTGATAGGCAACATCTTGATTTTTTTTTTATTCACCAAAGCCTTTCCCCCTACCACTCCATTTTCTATTTGTGGTGTTTGTTTTTCTTTTCTGTTTTCATTTTTCGCCTTTTGTATTACATGTCTCTTCAGGGCGTGGGTGATCATGGCTCTCCCCAACTTCCTGTTCTTTGTAGCTTTTAACAATGTGTTTCTTTTTACTAAACATTCCACTCGCTATTGTGCCATCCAATTACACTAGATTTTTCAGTAATTTATACGCTGCTTCCATTTTCTCGAGTTGTTAAATAAAATTTGCGAAACAGAGTTACAAATCATCCTATTCCAATTTAAATTCAAACTTTTTTCTAGTTTTTATAAATATATAGATTTATGCTTAAAATTTGTAAAATGTATATATAGGGTGAACCAGAATTACCTCCCATATATACCTTCCAGAAATACCTTCCGCAAAAAGGTAAAACAAAATCTAATTGTCTTGTAGGATGTATTTTTGTTGCACTTTGTTTATATAATTACTAACATATTTTATACCCATATTTCAATACTATGCATACACATAAATAATTTTAGCATATTACAGATCCATGCACATATATAATATAGAGTCGTCCGAAAAATGTATAAATATATCACTTAAAGAAAGAAAAAAAAGAAAATCTTTTGTAGCTTTACCTATTTGGTACCCTAAAGGACGTTGTGTATCTTAGAAAACCGACTATATTAGCGGACCTTAGACGTGAAATTTAAAATGCATGCGCAGTCATCCCACTGGACATACTGGCCAACGTTGCCCAAGCAGTAGTTTGCCGTAATAGTAAATGTCTATTTTGAGCATCTCTTGTGATTTCAGAGCGAAAATGAAACTCGTATTAATCTCCTGATATCTGCATAAATTTAGTATTACAATATCGATACAAGATTTCCCTATCCTGAAGTGTGCATATTTTTGGGAATAAAATAATATTGAATGAAAAAAGATTATATATTAATGTTTTGATTTGAATTTGTGGTTTGCTAAGTGCAGTGGAATTCAATTTTATCTGATCGAATAGATATTTGATGAGTGATGCTGAATCCTTTTTTTTTTATATTACACCAGTTTCCTTATTTTGAATGTAAATTTGAACAGCCGTTGGTGTTACTAGCAATCAGAAAGTTGGGAGTTGCTTAAATGTATCAAGATTAATGTGTGTGGGTTGTAGTAGTAGTAGTAGTAGTAGTAGTAGTAGTAACGAGGAGGAGGAGAAGGAAGCAAAGCACAAAAAACTGAAGGATAATATTTTTCAAGCAATCTTTTTAAATAAATTGTTAAAAAAACAAAAAGAGGGCTTCTTTAATAATAAATAATATACTATTTCAACAATTCAATTAGCAGATTTATGCAGTTTTCAGGAATTATATTTTTAAAGAAAGAGTGTATTGTTTCTTTTTTAAAAAAATGCTAATCGTCATCAATTGAATCCGACATTTTTTCTTAGTTCTAACTATTGCGATGTGTTTCACGTGGAAACTTCATTTTTAATTATAGTTACTATAGAGCAGATACGCATAAAACATAACTAACCGTACAAAAGGACACGTTTATCGACAGAATGCATCAAATCCAAGGCCGAAACACTGATAACAGAGAATGAGAAACGAATTCACCGCAGAACACGACGAAAGACAACAATCCACAATACTCAGAAGTATCGGGCAACCGGAAATATTAAAATCAGAAATGAAATCAGCACTTTACCGAATTGATCAAGCACAAAACAGTAGGACCAGATGGCATTGTCAGCTTTAGATGATTTCGCTATTGACGAAATTACAGACATAATAAATGAAATATGTGACAGTGGTGATATACCGGGAGACCTATGTAGCGTCATTCCCATAGCGCTGCTTAAGAAATCAGGTACAAACGAATGTGAATTCCATCAGACTATCAACCTAATGAGACACAAAACAAAACTTATCTGAATTCTGAGCAAAGAGCGCGCAGTGTTGTTTCATTAAAAAACTAGAACAACGAATGATATATATATATCACGCACATGCATTTCATAAAGTATGTCGACATCAGTATAGTCAGGAAGTAATAAACTTATTATTTGTTTGGGAAGTCTTATTAGGATTTCTTTAATACAGAGAGTTTTTTGAATTAGTTAACCCCAAGCAAGGCAATAAAAGCACTAGGAAACAAGAGGTTAATGAATGTGAGATAATAGAATGGTGTTGAAAAGCCTGACTAAAACTGCGCACGCCTTCTGTCGAAATTTCTCTGCGTTAAAAGAAAGGAACATTAGACGAGGCTTTGCCGAAGGGCGGGGTTTCATCTGAAAAGGTAGACAGGGCCGGAACCCGTCTAATGAAATTTAATAAAAAGGCTATTTTTTGGCCGAGCCTACTAGAAGGATAAGGGAGGAAAACCCAATTAAAACCGGCCTTGTGCCATATTCGTTTTTCATGGGTGAAATGATAAATACCGAATTTGAATAATATTAAAAAAAAACTTCTATTAAAGAGATAGGATAATAAAATAATAAGAAGAGAAAGGAATTGGCTTTGAATTTAAAGTTTTGAAGATCAAAGTTGAGCGGCTAGCAAGAAGTCGGAAAAGAAGAAACTGTTAGCATAAAACTTACGTTTGCATTTAAACATTTCAACTCTAAAATGATGAGAACTTTCGCCAATTTAGTATTGCGCTTAAATTCATGCAGGTAAAATAATAAAAGAATGTTCATCTTCTGTTTTACTATGAAAGTTTCTATACACTTATAGAAAAGATACAGGAGATCTACCTTACGGCGAGGGGAAAAGAACTCAAGCCGTGATGACAGGTCAGAACGAATAACATTTCTGATTCATCTTTGGATATTATCAAAATCTCTAAGTACATAGTAGGGGCCCCAAATCAAATGTAACAGAAATATTCAAAGCCTGTAGTAAATGGTAGACTTATGCATTGTTGTAACCTAGGGAAGGTTACTGAATAGAATAATCACACGAAGGTTGGTAATGAACGATAATACTTAGGACACGAACAACACATATAAGATTCACCAGCGGGCGTAGAAGAAGTAATCAACTGCTAGAAGTGAGTCAAGTGAATTCCACAATGAATCTCCAACTGCAGGATATCTACCAACCACCCCACGCGGTCAGAGGTGGCACAAGGCCGAATTTAATGTGAATTATCCGAGCCCGTAGGGTCGGACAAAAATTCCCCGTATACCTTGTATAAAACGGAGTCGGGTAGCTATTTCCCGAGAGGAGATGCTGCAGTTCGACATAGCCTCGTCTGGGGATCCTCTCTGCCCAGATGCAGAGTGTATGATCAGCACAGATGGAGGCGATTCTCCAACTGTAGGATATCTACCAACCGCTCCACGCGGTCAGATGTGGCACAAGACCGAATTTAATGTGGGGTATCGGGTTTGTAGTCTCGGTACACCCCGTATAAAACGGGGTCGGATCGCTGTTTCCCGAGACAAGACTTAACCCTTCGACATAGCCTTATTTGCGGATCCTCTTTACCAGTAGGCAGAGAGGTTGACCAGCGCAGCTGCTGACGAATGTCCGACTGCAGACCAACATACAATATTTACTATTGTATTCATGTGAATGGAGACATTCCCATTATCGTCCGTTGGTATGCTACAACTATATGTAAAAGAGATTTTAGCGAGTAAATTTTTCTAGCATAACATTGTGAACCAAGTTCCTTAAGCTGCAGACTTACCACTTCATACAATATAGTCTTAGACGTGGTGGGAGGCAAAGATGTGTCTTCTCACCAGACTTATTTAACTTATACACTTGCTTATAAAGCAAACCTGTTAGTATTACAGGGGGCCGACACTATTTTGTGACACTTTGAAAAGTGTGCTTAAAGGTGTTTTTTGCTGCCGAGAGCTTTTGTGTTGATGAGTAGGTAGTTCAGCCGTAACTGTCCATTAATGGTATGAACATTGATTGATGGGTTTGTCTTTGGTTTCATGTTTTATTTATTCTTACTTCAACTTAGGCGACACTATTTTTCAGACATGACACAAATTCCAGGTTTTTTAATGATTTAGTCGTCGAACGTCTACAATATGCAAATTTTCTGCAGATAAATTGTACCCTGACCATTACATTTGAGTATCTTTACCATTCATGCGAAAACGTATTAAAATCCTGAAGAAGAATGCATTCAAAAGAAGTCATCAGTTTGGTCCAAAAAAGAGAGAAGACAGGCTCAGCATCCGAAAAAGATCGGCGCTGAGATGAAGTTACCGAGGTCAACAGTTGAATACATGCTAAGTACAGACTATGAGCGGAAGAAGAAGAGAGGACGGAAAAAGAAAGAATGAAGAGGAGTATCACAAGGTTGTTATCATCTGGAGAAAAGGTGAGAGCGAAGAAAGTAAAGGAGAAGTGTGAACTTGACGTCAGTGTTCGAACTAAAACAAAAAAGCTACATGAAATTGGACTTAAGTATGCTAAAATCAAGAAAAGAATTCCATTTAACGAGAAAACACAAGGAGGCAGTTTTGGGAAGCGCCAAAAGATGGATAACAAACCATGTCGACTTCAAGAAAGTGATATTTACTGATGAAAAACGTTTTAAGTTCGATGGACCTGACGGGTGGTGTACATGGTCGAGAAAATGTGAACCTGTTATTCTCAACAAGTGAGAGATGGAAGGAGGAGGAGTCATGGTTTGGGGTATGGTATTTCCGAATGGAAACTTGTGGCTCGAGTGGTTAAAAGGACGTCAAAATAGCTTGAGCTACAGTGAACCTTTGGAAAAGAGAGCCCTACCACTCATAGAAAAAGAAATGGGAAGTAATTTTATTTTGCAGCAAGATAACTGCAGCATCCATGTGGCCAAATCAGTGAAAAATTGGATGTGTGAAACAAATATAACTACTCTGGAATGGACTTCAAGAAGTTCAGACTTAAATTTAATTGAAAACATATGGGAAATGCTTGCAGAACTTGTTTACGACGGGCCAGAAATAACCAGAGAGGCTGAACTGTTGCAGCGCATACAAGATGCTAAAAATAGACTGCTAGGAACACGAAGAGACGTCATTATCAATATGCACGAACATTATGAAGATAGACTGATAGAAGTCATTGAAAAAAAAGGTGATGCCATAAACTATTAGCATTGTTTCTGCAATGTCCGAAAAATACTGTGTAATGTGAAAATTTGTAAAAAAAATAAAAAATACTTCTAATTTGAATTCTGCTTTTCCATTTGTAGTATTGAAACAGTTTTTAAATGTTATTGCCATTACACTAAAACAGTACAGACTGCCTGTGCTACCTAAAACTTGAAAAAATAAAGTGTCTGAAAAATAGTGAAGACCCCCTGTAGAAGTTCTACCACGATGTATTATTGGTGACCACACTCTTAACATGATCTATGTAGATGACGCAGTGTTGTTAGCAAACACAGAATAGAAACTACAGGGGCGCCTACAGATAGTCGTAAAGGAAAGCAAGAAGAAAGGATTAAACATCAGTTGTAAGAAGACAGACTCTATGATTGTCAACAAAACAAACAGCACCACATGAATATTACAATTTCGAAATACCAAAATTAAATAAGTACGAAAATTAAAATATCTGGGTAATGGTTTAACAGATGACGGAAAATATGACACCGAAATCCGAGGTCGCATTCGGAAAACGAAAGATGACATTCAAAAACTAAGCAAAATAGGAAAAATTCGTTAGAAACAAAGAAAAGATTATTGAACTGTCATGTGATATCCTATATCACATTGAATGCTGGACAATCTCCACACAGATGAAAGAGGCAACAGAAATGTTGTTCTACAGAAGGATGCTGAGAATACCGTGGAATGAAGATGGGAGTAACGACGAAGTTTTAGAGAAAATGTACAAAACAAAAAGTAGACTTATACTTAACATCAGGTAGAGGAAAGAGGGATCTGAAACTTCGATAGTCACAAGGCAGACTGAAAACAAGAGGAACAGAAAACAAATCCTAACATATTTATTGAGTTTAACTAAATGGATGGCGGGTCAGGTTTTGGGAGAAATAACAAAAAGACAAAATTTATTAAGAGCAACAAATAACTGGAAATTGTGGAGGGCCATGATCGTTTACGTCCTGAAGGGACACGATATATAAAAGTATGAACTCTTGCTGTGTATTTCAATCTGTGTTTTCTAGGTTTGAGTTTATTAGAAGTTATTGTTTCGTTGATAAGTAAATATTGATTGAATCAGTCAATGTTATATTGGTTCGCAGATAAGTAAATATTGATACTTTAAATTTGAATCTGAAATATCTACTTGTTTCGGTATAAGTAAGTATTCATCATTTATATTTGTGTCTATATGCATTTACTTGCTTCGTAGGAGAAGAAAAAATGCCAGTTTATATATATATATATATATATATATATATATATATATATATATATATATATATATATATATATATATATATTATTATTAAGATTATTAAGAACTACAGTGGACAGGCAATTGTGGCAAGAGCTTTGAAAGTTTACGTCTTGAGGAACACAATAGCCCATAGAAAGCGAAATGAAGGAAGAAATTAATATATATATATATATATATATATATATATATATATATATATATATATATATATATATATATCCAATATAGAATGAAGAGAGAGAGAGAGAGAGTGATAGAGAATTACGGTGGATAATGGATATGGCTTGGTTTGAGGAATCGAAAAGAGCCGAGTTCGAATTCAGTAAAATCCATTATATTCATACACGTGCTAATTTTTTGGGAAAGGTATGAATCCTCTTGTTGTTTAAATCAAGCTATTGAAGAAAAAAGCAGGACAGACTGGGTTCTATAGCCATTATTTTGACTAATGGCAACTGGTCTAGGAGAAGGACAACTTTGAATTCAAAACCTGCGGAGGGTCGTTTGGGAACCTTGTGGCATTCGAAGTGCACCAGGTCTCTGTATTCGTCCCTTCAAAAGTGTGGATGGTCCTACACGAGGCCTTCACCATATATAATCAATTCTCATTTGCCGTTGTCGGGCTGTCGGTTTCCTGGGAACTGGATCTGCTTGACCCTCATAAATTCGAATCTCGACGGGAGAGTCGATTATTATATATATATATATATATATATATATATATATATACATGCGTATATTCCTCGGCGTGGTGTAATGGTTAAAAAGACAAAAAACTAGAACATATTACGACTGAGTAGTGAGTTCGACTCTCACTGGGTGTTCCATGTTTAATTTGCCTTGTGCCACATCTAAGCAGCATTTAGAAAATCACTATATATATATATATATATATATATATATATATATATATATATATATATATATGCGTGCGTGTGTGTGTGTGATTATTATCATAAACTGGAACGTAAGTTCTTTGAACGGATACTTGATGATTCAAGATCTCCATTTACCTCCCATCCTTTTTTATAAAAATCAAATCGCTACGGATGAACAGAAAACATGTTTACAACCTAATCTGAGTTTCGGGGCATATGATAGTGGTGATGGTCGGGGTCTGGTGCCAGACCACACAATACATGACAGTTGGCACACTTGGCAAAACAATAATAAAAACAAGTATGCTGATAAAGCGACACTGATGGGGCGGGAAATCCAAACATCAGGACAAGGCTACGATAAAAGGGATGACAACTGTGATGGCCGCCTGAAATTTTCTTACAAAAGGCAGACGGAGGAAAAGTACAGATAAAAGTACGAAAGAGAAAAGAAATAAAAACAAATAAGATATGCAAAATAAAAATCGACAAGAAAGATAAAAAAAAAAACGAGAAAGACGCATGAGACATTATAAAGGAAGCTAAAATCAGAAATTGAATAACGAAAGAAAGAGAAAAGAAGTACAAACAGAAAAAAAGAGAGAACGTAAAGGAAAGGAAATATGAGAAAAGGAGAGATAAAGAAGTAAAATAGAAATTGAAGGGTCGAAAACATTGAAGATGGAACAGAAAAGGAGGATAATAAAAGAAATCAGGAAAAAGAAAACAAAGAAAATAATGAAAATAAGAGAGAATATAAGAAAGAAAGGAAAAGCAGACAGAATTGAAAGAAGATTAGAGAAACTAAAAGAAAAAAGATGAAACAATATAAAGACAAAATAAGTAAATAAATAAATAAATAAGTAAATAAATAAATAAATAAATAAAGAAAGAAAGAAAGAAAGAAAGAAAGAAAGAAAGTAAGAAAGAAATGAAAAACAAAGAGAAAAGGAAAGGAGAAAACATAAACAAGAAATGGTGAGAAAAGAGGAATAAAGAAAATATTTCTGAAGAAAGAAACAACAAAAGAAAGAAAAAATAGACAAAATTAAGAAAAGAATAGGGAAAAGAAAGAAAGGAGGATGAGATAACAGAGACAATTTAAAAAAATGAGAAAAATAAAGAAAGAAAAACAGACAGAGGCACAAAGATGAGAAGAGAGGAGATAAGAGAAACAAAAAGAAAAAGATAAGTAAACAGAGAGAAACATATCTAAGGAAAGGAAAGAAAGAAAATATAGATGACAAAATCTTACTTATTATAAAACCCAGGTTGTGTGTGTGTGTGTGTGTCTGTACGTTTATATATTGGATTGGATTTCCTACATTTTTCAACCGATTTCAACAAAACTTCACAGGACTACGTGAAATTACCTTGCGGTGGTTCTGACAGCGCCAAAACTGAGAAAAACACAATTGTTTTTGCAGGAAATCAATTTGAAAACACGATTAAAAGGCATTAATGAAAGGGGACAACTCATATGGAGTTATACTTATTAATATCGAGTTATCGAATTATACTTATTATAAAACCCAGGTTGGTTGGTTGGTTGGTTGGTTGTGTATGTGTGTGTGTGTGTGTGTGTGTGTGTGTGTGTGTTCGTTTATATATGGGATCGGATTTCCTACATTTTTCAACCGATTTTTAAAAATAAAACTTCACTATTTTTTTGGCAGGTAGCGTTTCTTATTGTCTAGCACACTTTTTTTCTTTATTTTTACATTCAGAATGCTTTAAAAATTCCATTTACAAGACAATTGTTTATAATAAAATTCTATTCAATCGGTAGACTCATAACGATTCAAAACAATGTTTTTGTTTGAGTTTGGGTTTGACCAATTCGTAAAAAAAAATAAAAAATAAAACTAATTAAGACATGTGTGTCTGTCAACCTTAAACAATAATCTTTGTCAATTTTATTTTTCCGTTTTTATGATGGTCGATACTTGATCTATCTCTTACTGTTACATCCCCGAGCGACGCCGGGCTCTACTGCTAGTTTAGAATAAATACAACAAACTAATGTTGAACAAAGAACGAAATGAAAGATTACTAAAGTAAAAAGGATTTTAAATAAAAAATAAAGAAAACTGATGCTGAAGAAAGAATGAACTAAAAGATTTATGTAAATAAAGTATGAAAGATTTTAAAAGAAAACTAATACTGAAGGAAGAAAAATCTGAAAGATAAGCGTAAAGTAATTTTAAAGGAAAAAGAAGGAAAATTAATATTGAAAAAAAAAAGAACTGAAATAATCTAGGAAGCATTTTAAAAGAAAAGGAAAGAAAACTAATGCTGAACAAAGCACGAAATGAAATATTAACTTACATATAGTAGGAAGGATTTTCAAGGAAAAATAAAGAAAAATGAGGAAAGAATTTTAATGAAATATATGCATATATAGTGAGAGAGGAAGAGAGAGAGAGACAGACGGACAGAACCACCTGGTGACCAAGAAAAAAATACCTAATTTCAAATAAACTAAAATCAATAAAAGAAACCCACAGAAAAAAAAAATAGGAACATTTCGAAGAAGTATGTGAAAAAGGAAACAGCACAAAAAATATTATTTGATTTAACAATCATTGTTGAATTATCTATTGTTGAATTTTGTATGAGGCACCCAGTGCTAGTCGAACTCACTACTAATGACTAACTATCAACCGAAGCGGCTATTTAGTTCAGGTGTTTGAAATTAAAGCCGGTATTGGGATATTTAAAGTCAATTTTTGTATGGGACACTCAGTGAGGGTCAAACTCACTACCCAATGGTATTGGTCAACCAAGCTAGCTTCGTTAACCATTTCCCTATGCCACGGCGCTTACTTTTTTGTTTGATTTTATTTGATCTTTTTCACGATCCCTCAAACATTATCTGTTTATATTTCTGAGATGAGATATTCTAACTATTTACATTATTTACATTGTTCGGAGTGTTGGCCTTATCTTTCTTGTCATATTCACGATGTATCGGCTGTTGTACGCTCCGGACTTCTTCAGGATCTGTCCATATTTCTGAAACGACGAATTATAAATATTTACAGTATTTACATTTCACACTCCGGCCTTCTTCAGGTGATTGCAATTTCGAACCGAACCCTTTATTTCGCCCACCGGGGTAGATTGTTCTAGATCTATGTGCCATGCCTCTTTCGATTATCTCAGGGTTTTTTTTAGTTATTTCCCATTAGTAACTCAAGTCTATACGTTTTTATTCATCTCAGTTGAGGCCAGGTATTGAACTCATATATCTTGGTGTCAAGTCACTGGATTATTTGAACCAACGCTTTTATCCACTAGCCATGTGTCCTTGAGGAAATTCCAATCCGCTGAAGAAGACCGAAACGTGGTGAATATGAAAACAAATATGAGGACAACAGCCCGACTAATGGCGATTTTCTAAGCACAAGGCTGAAATTATGGGCTTCCCGGTGAGAATCGAACTCGCTATTCAGCTGTAATGGTTCTAGCGAGAAAAGCTTGCTAACTATTACACCAAGTCGAGGTGCCCCAAGAGCCCCACAAATGAATATCTACAAACAATGTTGGGTTATTAATATAAGAATTTTGTAAAGGGCATTCAGTGGGGGTCGAACTCACTATTCAGTAATAATGGATAATAAGACTAACCTCATTGGTTATTAGTCCATACTGATGTGCAATTGCTAGTTGAAAGAAAGAAAAAAATGAAATTTATAAATAAACAAACAAACAAAAACAAGCAATAAAAGGACAGTAAGAAATGAATGTACTTTGAACGAATTTAAGCAGACTCTTGAGGAATTTAAGGAAGAAATAGAGAAATTCTTTGAACATATAATTTTAGTAGAAATAGACAATAAGCCTAAAAAATAAGAGACCGAATTAAGTGTGTGATGTGGGAGGCATTGGACGAAAGACTAACGGTTAAAAGCATAATCCAAAATAATGTAGGTATTATTTAAAAAGTTGATTGCACTGAAAGAAATGAAAGACAAGACAAGAAACGAACAAAACAAGGAATAAAAATATTGGTATAAACTGATACCCGTGAAGAATGGAAAGACTTTGTAAAAAGATTGAAAAAAATCATGAAGACAAATAATGATGTACACATCTTATATATGAATAAACAAATCAAGCAAAATGCATAAAACAGATACAAAAGTAGATGGGAAAAAAGATATGAAAAAAATGATGTAAAACAAGATGAAAAAAATATAACAACGAAAACAAGTTTGTGAAATAAAAAAAATGATACAAGGGAAAATAGACGAATAGAATAAAGGAGGAAAAAAAGAGGAACGAGATTTTTTTTTAAAGATGGTGAAAAGGGTTCCTTTAAAATAACATATTTTAAAATAAACGATTTCTACGGCAAGAAGAGGGTTTTTGTTTGCGATGTTCATACACAATCTCAAGTCTTCCTAACTCTTCCGAAGATACAATGCAGGAATAGTATAAATACATATGATAAAAACATGATCTGCAACAAAAGAGGATTCTAGAAATCATTGAAATAGAATAATATTCTGTCGCAGAATTCCTTCATGGAAATACATTGGCTGCTGAAACACAGCAGGAATTCTACGAGAGCCCCATTCTTACATAAACATCTCCAAAACTCCAAAAGATTTTTATATCATTACATGTAACGGGGTGCTGAAAAGTTCTCGGTTTGACAAAGAAGATCAGTTTACAAGCCATGAGAGATCTTTGGTGCATAATGCAGAGCATTTGTCAATCCAATAGGGTTTAATTAACGGCACCCATTTCTTCCCTAATTAAAATACAGCAGGTTGTATTAGGTTACATGTCACTAACGACAATGAATAATCCGTGACACGAGAACAGTTGAGGGGCATCTTTTGTTTTAAAAAAATACAACAGAAAGTGAAACGTCATATTGTGCCACCCACCACACAAATGTATAAAAACAGATATATGTAAAATATATCCTTCCTGAAATCAAAGGGAACCGCATAAAATATTCAACAGAAATATTTTCAAAATTAGAGAATGTTATGATGATTCCAGAAAACATAAAACAACAAACAATATACCACAAATACACAACTCCAATCTGTAACTTAATAGCAAAGTACAAATGCCCATTAAATGTTAACTTACAACAAACCAACATGGTATACAAAGCAACAGTTAGGAATACAAAAACAAGACAATGTGAATATATGCAATAACAAAATTAAAAGTCATTACACAAAATAACATTGGAAATGAGAAAAACATTAACACCAAAAGCAATGTAAAATTTGCAGAAAGGAGAAAATAGTAATAATCAGATTTCAAGTAAAATATAGATTATGATAAAAATGTCGGAGAACGTTTTAAAATAGAGACCCGAAACTAATTTACTTTTACGCTATCTAAAGTGCACCATGGCACAAAAATCTAAATCATATCCTAAAACATTAATCTAAGAAGGTTTAACTAAAATATAAAAATGTAGAATCACAGAAAGGGTAAAAGAATTAATAAAATCAAAATAATCAGAATAATATATATAAATAATAAAAAATAATGAAATTATTTATTATTAGTAAATTTCAGGAGTATTAATAATCTATGGCATTATTTCTAATAAAATATTTGGCAAGGGTCAGTTTTCACATTTGCCGCCTCCCATTAGCCTAGTAGCATATATATAGAAGCAGCATCCGAAAAAGTGACAGATAGTTTGATGGTTGTTTGATTCGTGAAGCAGACGATCATAATGTCCTGATTTTATGACCACACAGTCTATTTGTCTGAAATTGTTACTAACACAACATGGCTATTTGGCAACAATTGGTACACACACACACACACACACACACACACACACACACACACATATATATATATATATATATATATATATATATATATATATATATATATATATATATATATATATGAATAAAAAGTGACAAGAAGGAAGACTATTCTTAACTGACGCGTTTCATCCTCTGAGGAACTTTATCAAGGTAATGTAAGATTTATTTTGCTGCATGTGTCATTAGTTTATCAGGGCTTTGAATTTGGAGAACGTTAATGAATATTCATCACGTGGTTGAAAGGTCACTCTTAGTAGGTGGAGGACACAAAATGTTATAACTGAAGGTCTGACAAAAAGTAAAGTGTGCGAGTAATGTACAATAAATTCCTTCAAAGGACTAAACGCGTCGATAATTAAATTTGAATGAGTAAAATGAAAAACGCTAAGGTTATGTACGGTACAATTTTTAAATTTTATCGTGTAGATACGTGTTCAAATATCAAGGGATATAACTAAGCTATTGAAAGATCTTAAAATGGTAAAAAAAAACTATTTAAAATTATTAGTTAAAACCTAAATATATTAAAGTATCTACTATAATCATTTAAAACATTTGCGCAGTATTCATAATTAATGTTGTTAATGGCTGGTTTCAAATTTTTAATATAGATAGCTTTAGGAATTTTTAATTTATGTTTATTATTTTAATGAAATTTTAGTTTATTTTCATTATTTTCATGAAAAAGTATAGATGCATTTGCATTTAATAAAGATACTAAGAAACACGTGCGTAAGTAGGAAAGGGTCCTATAAAAATAAGTTGACAAAACTTGCTTAAATTATTTAACGAGACATGTGTTTATGAAAACATGCTGCCAATACATATAGCGGTAGGAAAGTGACTGAAACCGAGACGCCAGATCAGGACCAATAATATTGCTGATTATTATTTCGATTTTATCAAGGAGCCGAGATAGTAGGAGCACCAGACAATATATGTCGGCAATATTCTAAGCAGGGACGGGCAACAGTTCAATTGTTTCGATCACGAGATAAAAAAAAAATATGTTGGAAAACAACATTCAAACATTTGACTACTAGCAGTGACTTTCTCTGGACATATATAGTACTGAATATATTTGCTTTGTACTGGAGAATTTTGAAAGTGCAATGATCATTCGATTTGTTTTAATTCTGATATTTTTTAGGACGAACAGCAAATACGCTTCATTACAGATTCCTTTTCTTTATTATATGTGAATTGTCAAGAGGGTTTGAAAAAGGTAGCGGTGTCTTTAAACGTTGTTTTCTCCAGACCTTTACTTTCAAAGAAGTTCTGGTATACTAGCTTTTAGCCAAGTCTATAGAACTCAGTCTACATCTGTGTATGAATTCAGCAATCATTTTTTTTTACCAGTGCTCATATAGTATAGAAATGAATACAATATGCAAACCAGAAATAAGGAGTTCCAGAGAAAAACGATAATAACAAAAAAAAAATTGCAATATGAACTCTGGTAAAAACGTAATATGATAACAGAAAAAATTGCAATATGAGCACTGGTAAAAAAATGATTGTTGAAGACAATATGTTTATAATACCCAGAAACTCACACACAGATGTTCTCAAGCACACAGTGGATAAAGGCATTAGTTAGATCCAGTGACAGGACCCAAAGAGTGTGAGTTCAATACCCGGTGAAGGACGTGGATAACTTGGAGAGGGGAATTAACAGAAGATAACTGATAACTGACATCCATTAAACATGGCACGTGGAACTAAAACAGTCTGCCCCAGTGGGCGAAATAAAGGGTTCAGTTCGACATTCCAACCACCTGAAGAAGGCCGGAGCGTACAACGGCCGAAACGTTGTAATAAATATGGCGACAAATATGAGGACAATAGTCCAGATAATGTAAATGGGATTTAATGTTTAACACCTATTCAGAAATATAGACAGTAAATTTAGACTCTTTTGTTTTGATTAGTTAACCTTGTAAAAAATGATCTAAAAACCCAGACTCGTTTTGTTTTCGTTTCCTTTTCAATGGAATGGATTAAGGATTTTTATCCAAAATTAGATTAGCCTTTTAGTTTTCCTACTCCCAAATAGTTTTTTTTTATACCACGCCATAAGCATGTGCCTTTTCTTGACTCTGTAATATCATGGTAATTATAATGACCTTTCTGCTTTGGGTGCCCAGTATTTAAATTCAACACTAGACTGGTAATAATATTTAATTTCGTTTAAATGTTTTGGCTTATTTTTTTAATTTTGATTTTCTATGTTCACCTTCCCCATGCCATTGTCATTTTGCGGAATTCCTAGGTGTATTTTAATAACCCCAGCCAAAATTCAATTTCGGTAGATGTTCAAATGAATGTTGAGTTTCTTTTATCAAATTTGTCAGTTGTTCTTCTTTGATTTATAACTGATTCGGATTAGCTAAATAAGGATAACAGTGTTGATATCCTTTCGCCATAAAATCAGTTTCGAGAACTTGTTCGACATAGATTAAATATACGTTATTTGTAAAATTAACGCATGCAACATGGCGTTCTAGAAAATGATATACACATTGAAAATGTTGCTTTTATTCTAAGTAAATTGATCGAAAGATTGTATCAATAAAAATGCAAAGATGAGGAAGTTTAATTAATTAATTAAATAACTAAAGAGGTTAGTGTTTAAAAAAAAAGCAAGCCCTTCGTCAAAAAAATCTTCTTGAGCTTTTATTGTTCGAAAAAGCAGCAATGTCTGACACAAGGTCCAAAAGGGGTGGGGATGAATTCATTGTCACTATCTTTTACCTAGCATCCGATTCACGACCCGTTCATGATTAAAAAATAATCCATCATAAAATCTGTTATTTCATCATTGAATCCTCCAAACACCAAGTCCCCTTACACAATGGAGAACCCTATAAAAAAACCCCATTGACATAGAATTCACTCATATAAAATATATATATAAATTTATCGATGATAACAATCTATGGGGTGAGGAATGAAACCGAAACCAAAGTAAAAAACACAGTTTTAAAATAATTGATGTTTTTAGGACCTGTCAAATGATTCTTCTCATCCTAGTAAGATAATCTCTCCGAGAAAAAAGTAAAACACAAAATTTTAGCGTTTTAATGAAACAGTAAACTCATTCAATCAGGACATTTACAGGTTCAGATATATTTTAAATGATTTCCTACATCACTTTCTAAAAAAATATTTTATTTTAAATAAAAAAAATTTTCTTTTAAAAAAAAAAATTTTCTTTCTTTTTCTCTTTTACCAATTTTGGTTCCATTTTATTGTAATAATCCGCAAAAAAAAAAGAAAGGTTAATATTTTCCACCGTATCCCACGAAAGTGTGGAAACCCTGAGATTAAATAGATCTTGTGTAGTCTTGTGTAGCATTTTCAGAATGAGTTCGCGTTCTGTTAGATTAAAATAAAAAATAGGTATCAGAGAAACTTCACGTAAATGCATTAGCACAAAAACACGTTTTTTTTTTTAATCAAACTTCACTGACTGACTGAACTCACCCACAGTCAAAACACTTTGACAATGGGCCTGTAAAGATGAAAAAAAAGAAAATCTGTAATATTTTGATAAAATCATTTTATTTTAACTTTTTTGAGCAGGAACAATTATGGAAAATATATCGATTTTATATTAAAAAAAAAGAGAAATATCTCAATTTTCTTTGAAATTGATCTATATAGCTTATTTCACCATTCGCTGTTGGCGTCTCTCGGGTTTGTCCAGATTCGATTAGAATCCATATGTGCCTTATGATGATCATATACTTTGGACTATGACACATGAAGCAGTTCCCCTTCAGAGCACTTCTATTATTGCGCAGACACGTTTTTTTTTTGGTCGGATGATATAGTCTTGAACGGCAACGAACACAGTACGCCAAAGTACTCTTTCCGCCAATCACCCCTCGTTTCATTCCGGCTTTCTTTTTTTCATTACAGACTTCTTCTTTGATGTTCTCATATAACTGCTACTTTTCAGGCAGCGGCATTGCTGTAGTATTTCCTTTGCTTTGGCTTGGTCATTTTCATTTATTTTCGTTTTATTTAAAGATTACGTTGATCAACAAGGAGTCTGAGATTAAAACAAAAGACTTTCTTTGCCAAAGATTGCCGTGGCGAAACTATGCTGTGTAATAGGAGATGCGTACTGACCGTTTGTCAGAATTTAAAGTGAGTTACAAAGAAAGAAGGAAACATTAAAAGAAAATGTGCTCATTTATGTGTGTCTTGTGACATCACAAAGAACTGATGATAAAAGAGTGTGTGTGTGTGAAAAAATATTAAAAGTTCCATATTTTAAGATAGGTAGATTTTTCCAACATTTTCTTTTTTATTAATTTTCTTTTTTTTTTTTTTTTTTTTTTTTTTTACCTCGAACAAAATGGACCGGCCATTTAGGGATATATTTATTCCTTTAATTTTAGCTGTTTTATTATATACATATAATTTATTTATTATATATAATTATTTTTATCCTTCCTCTTCGTTAGTGATTCTTATATTGATTCTGTCTAAAAGCAACATTCGTGAATAAATAAAACTTAAACTGCTAGGGCATGGTAAAATTTTGATGGAGCATGCGTAACAAAACTTCGGTTCACTATACCAACAGAATAGGGGGATTAGAGAATGAGTTATTAATAATGAATTGTTTTGTAAATGAGCATCAAATTTCAGACAACATTATTATTTCCTGATTAAATCGATCAAAGTATATTACAGAATAAACTTTCATGCAAAATTTTATATTTCTGCAATTTCAGTTTGCTGTTAAATTTTTGAAAAAATATATATAAATTTAAAACGGCACTTTTGTTTTAACCCCACAAATTTTTACACTTTTTTCATGGCAAGATGGTCTTTGGTCGGACTTAGAGACCAGGTCAATGGCCTTTTAAGCTTCAGGTATCATGTGAATGAAGAAAAATTTTTGAATATGTAAGAATTAAATATTATGGGGATATATAGAATATTTATATAATATATATTTATTTTTAGCCCAAAATAGTTTGGGAACCATTGGTCTAAAGGCAGAATAGGTTTAATATTACTAACATCTGTTACGTTTAGTTTGAATGTTTTAAAATCAATTAGTTAAACCCGGATATATATGAGTTATCGGGACCGGAGAAGAATACATCTATATATATATCCCGGTTTCTCTTATATCCGGGTTTGGTCTATTATATATACATTAACACAGGCTCTAATTTGGGACCATAGAAAATATCTCTTATATCCGGTTTTCTCTTATATCCGGGTCTCTTATATCCGGGTTACACTGTACTTTAGTTTTCTGGTTTCATCCCATCCCCATTATTTTATGAGCATAGATTTTATATATTAAAAAAAAAAAAAAAAAAAAAGAAGACATTTGAACTATTTGTACATATTAAAATATTTTGTCATGTTTTTTTTTTTTTAGTTCCCTGTGTATTTGTGGTATTGTGATATATATATTAATGAATGGTGATAGATGATATTTTTATGGTAAATGTGCAAGCCGTAATGAATAGATAGATCATGAATCAGATTAGCTAGGTTTAGGATCGAAAGTGGGGACCACCTTTCCTCATTTATCCTTTGCCGATACAAAAATTGTTTTAATTTTCCCTTCCTCACCTTTCGTGAGTGGACGTCTATAGGGTTATGGGTCGTATCAACACATTTTGATTTACTTCGAATATTTGGTTGTTTTTTTATTTTTATTTTCCTTAAAAGGATCACTCCTCCGACCCCAGTCATTTTAACATACATAATTTTTATAGTAAAAAAGAAAAAAAGAAAAATTAATAAGAAAAAAGAAAAATTGTATATAAAATTTAAATTTTTACAAATTTTTTCCTGTATGTAGTATTATTGGTAAATGTATAGCAAAAAGGTGAATTGGAGGTCTTAAAATACAATAAAATACTAAAAACGAATGAATCCATTCAATAAAAATCAATTAGATGGGTTTCTGTTTTTTGAACCATATCCTTTTTTTTCTCCTTAGGCCAATTATAAAAAATTGTATGTAAAAATACAATAAATATGTATCAATTTATTTTGAAATGTCTTTTTTTTTTTATATATATATATATAAGGCCCGTGGAATATGCGATGCAGAGTTACGATTATAGGTAGACATGCGGATAGGAGGGGAAATTGTTTTAAACCTGAGAATTGAACAGGTTAAGATTTGAAATGGAGAAACATCTTCTAATTTTGGTTCCACAGATAAATGCCACACGGGAAGAAGATGTCCATTTGTGCAAATTAAAAACGAAAATTAGTTTGATTCAATAAATGGTATGGCGGGTAAATTTGGAGGTTAGAACAATCATTTAGTCCGTCTGAGCAATTTCCATGGAAGTCTTTATAATTGCAATGAAAAGTTTGTTCACATCCCGCCTGTGGGACAGAGGATAAATTTTCAGGACCAACAAGGACTTTAAAAATTTTCTTTTATATCAAGACTAAAAAATGATTTATTTATTCCTTTTTTAGTTTTTAGTTTTTAAATTTTAGTTTATTTATTTATATTTTTAGGATTTTTTTATTATTAAACCGGTCTGCGAAGGATTTTTGTTCGGCCCACCTTTTAACATTATATTTTGAAATCTAATTTTTTTGGAACTCAAAAAAATCAAATTTGAGTTAATCGACTTACAATGCGATGAAAAATTTTGATAAACGGAAATTCAACATCGAACCATGGTCTGACTTATGGATGACCGGTTAGGCATAAGCGGAAAATAAAACCCATGGAAATAATGCTATAAAAATGATGGTAAATTAGCGATGCGTAAAACGCTTGAAGGTTGAATTTTGCGTTTATTTCCCCAAATATGGATTAATTGGAGAATTTTTTTGTTGTAATAATTTTTTTCAGTCGATTCATGAACTGTGACGTCGTCCCCCGGTCGCAGCGTCGACTGTGTCGTTCGATCCCGTTCGCGGCGCCAATTGTGACGTCACGTGCTCCCCAGGCTCTGATATCCTGGTCACGGACAGCGCCAGTTGTGACGTCTTTTGTCGCGGCGTCAGCTGTTCGCTCCTCGCTGCTCCAAACGTGACGTTCTAACCCTTTGGTTAGATTGATACCAGCCTCGTCGTTCTCAACCCGCTTCCAACGCCTGGTTACCAGGGTAACTGCACTGATCTCCAGTCTGCCTACCCACGTTGTGAATTGATCTTAGACAGACGAGATCAAACAGGGGTTGGGGCCGTAATGCAAGTTGAGTCTAACGGGGTGATAACACACAATTATGTATAAAAAAAAAAAAAATAAAATAAAAACTCACAAGGTCCAACGTATCAAAGAAAAAGGTAACAAACTTTTTTTATGTCTATTTGCTCGGTACATAGGACTATGTCTCTACTTCCCGACCCGTTCTGTGGATTGTGGCACGACGCTTTTACTAGGCAACTTTAAGGCTTCCAGTTGTCTGCTCTCTAAGAAATTTGTGTTTCGGTGTGTCTTTGGACGAAAGTCGAAAAAAAAAACTTATTTCTGTGGTCTGATTCTAAGTCGCTCTTCAAACTACTTGTTCTTGGTTGAAGAAGAGTCCAAAAGTGTGCGTGAATCTTGGTCAGCTATCTTGACGCGGTTTCAACACTGGGCGCTCATCTCTGCTTGTCGTCCACGGCTGAACTCTTTCGCCGTCCGCGGCGGCTCAAACTCTTCAGAGTCTGAATTACTGGTCACTCATCTCCGCCGTCGGTGCGCGAACTAACTTCTCTTCTCTTCAGAGTCTGAATTACTGGTCACTCATCTCCGCCGTCGGTGGGCGTAACTTCTTCTCTTCGGCTTGGGTCGAACGAACTTCTTCACTTCGGCTTGGGTCGGACGAACTTCTTCACTTAGGGCCCAACGAACTGGCCTCTCTTGCCCGCAAAGGGGCGAACGAACTGGCCCGCCGTGGGCCGTCAAACTGATTTCTGTCGGTTGGGGTTTCGTTTTTTTATTGACGGTCAAAACTTGGGTCTGTCGGCGCCAGGGGTTTTTTGATAATTCTAAATACGTATCCACCCTTCTTATTTCTGGTTAGGGATTTTCCATTTTCGGTAACTCACTTTCACTCCCCCACTTCCTTACTGTGCCTCTGAGGGCGTATACCCGCTTCCCCGCTTCTTCGTATCGGTACACTTACACTTCTGACAGGGGCGTCGACCGATTCTCCTCGTGCGTCACGTGACCGCTCTCGGCCAATGAGGTCCTGGTCGGGTATCTTTCCTCCTCCTTCGTGTGTCATGTGATCTTATTTAGCCAATGACGTCTTTAGTCGGGCGTGGACAATCCGTGGCTTTGTTTTGGAAAAAGAAACACCTTGCTTAAAAAAAAAAAAAAAATTTAAATCGCCGTTATCATGAGCGACTGAGATGACACCTTCTTTTTTTTAACACGTGGTATTTGTCAAGCAGTTTATCGCTAATTGGATATGACCTAAGAAAGGGATTTTCTCAGACCTGTTGGCGTTTTTTGAACAAAAATAAAAATATTTTTTTTTTTTTCTCGGCCGAAGGTTGATAAAAAAATTTTTATTATCTCAAAAAAAAAAAATTTTCAGCAAAACATCATCTTTGTGGCTTTTTTTCCAATTCTGGAAATTGTCTGTTTTCCATGTTTTTCGTATTAATGGTTTGTCTTCATATCCTTAGATACACTTCCCCCACCTTATGTATTTTATCATATTTTTTCGAAATCCCTAAACTTCGTTTTTTCAACCATTTGATAACAAACTTCCATTTTTCGTGGACACGGAAGTAGGTCAGATGCTTGACCTGGATATTTTTCGACATCTGTTATCTGTCAGCCGTGCGTGTGTGTGTTCGCTTATGACCTGTTTTCGTATTATTTTTTTTTTTTTTTCTTCTTCGTTTTTCTTTCTTTCTCCCAGATCGCTTGAATGTAAAAAAAGAAAGAATTATTCTTAAAACCCAAAATATTTTTCGGCCCTAAATAATTATCAAATGGTTGATAAACCGTAAAAAAACAAATCATATATTTATGAATATTTTTTTCAGCTCGTAAGGTATGCATGGTGCCACATCAAATCAAACTATCAAATATTTTAAAGTTTTTAAATATCAAACAAATAGTTATTATAAGATACAAAAAAAAAAATAAATCAAATAAATATTGATTAGTTACAAATGTCTTAATTATATATATATATTATATTCTATAGAATATAAATATATAAAAATATACTTTTGTTTATATATATCAAAATGAAGGAATTATAAATGTATATTCATTATAATATAGAATTAATAACTAGAAATTAAATGTGAAAACAATTACATATTTCTTTATCAAATTCTTCATAGGTATAAATTCATCTCTTCTCCCTCCAGCTATGGGTTAATTTGTGAGACTTGTATCAATATATCATTAATCATTAATCTCCAAAACATATTTTTATAATTCCAAAAATACAATAAAAAATTTTTGATATAGAAAAAAAAATAATTCGATCAATCAAATACTACAAAAAAAATATTTATAACATAGGCATATCGTTTTTTTTTATTACATTTCTGAAATATAATTGCATAGAATGGTTTTTGTTCATAATTAATACTAATAAATTTAAGTTTTTATTATTTAATTTATTGAATAAACATTATAATTTGATCATGAATTGAAAAAATTATAATTTCTTGTTTGTTTATCCATTATTTTTAAAAAGTTTTTTACGAATCTGTAATTCTATACTTTATATTACAGTAGGTTTAATATAAAGCACTGATTTATTTCACTGATTTATTTTTTATGTATAAAAAATTAAAGAAAATTATCATTGCTAAATGTTACTAACAAATATATTTTCATAAAATCGTATTGTTTTACGTATTAGAAATTGTTGATTATTTTCATATGTAGGCATATTTATTTAATTTATTTATGTTTAAACCAAAAAAATTCGTTTTTTTAGAATATTCAATGAAATTATATTTTCTGGATGCAAATTGTTTGTTTAAATGCTTTCTATTTATTAAAAACTGTATTTTCCATGAAGATAAAAATAATTGTTCTTTCTAGAAAGTAACTAAGAAAAAATTTAATTTTTAAAATTATATTTAACTTTGATGGAAAAAAAAATTGTAAAATTTTTTAGCTGTAAATGTGGAAGAATTTATTTATTTTTGATATATATATCTTTTAACATTTTTTAAAAAAATTAATTTATAATTAATGTTTTTAGAATTTCAGATTTTTTTTTAAATATTACTTTTGATTAAATTTTACGGTAAAAAAAAAAATTTGGGGATAAATGGTAAAGGCATTTTCACAATAAAAAAATTTCAGCGATGAATGATATCAAAAAATATGACTAATGTATTTAATCTAATTTATATAATTATATAATTTATATAATAATAATAATAATAATAAAAATAATAATCACTGAAATATTAAAGTTTAATAATAATAATAATGATAAAAGGAGGACTTTTCATTGTTTTATGTACAACTAGAACTGTCCTACAAAACTACAACAATTGGCCTCCAAAGATATTTAAAAACTACAGAAGACTGGATGATGGTATGAAATCAATGGAACATGAAAATAAAAGCGTTTTTCTCCGTAATAAAAAGAAGCCAACAAATTCAAAATGGAGTTTCAAATGGGCGTAGAGATGCAACTAAAGCACAATACACCGGCTGAAACTGCAAAATGCCTAAAAAAAAAGACAGCAAAGACGAATGCAAAATAGACCAATACAGAAGCGATGGCAAGATAAACCGCTTCATGGCCAATATTCTGCCCGTACCAAACAATTGACGTAGACAAAACCCGTACCCATCAGTGGCTACGTAGTGCAGGGTTGAAAGCTGAAACTGAAGGTTTTATATCTTGCTGCGCAGGACCAATGCTTGCTAACTAGAAATTATCAAGCACATATACTAAAATATTGTGTCAGCCCAAAATGCAGATTCTGTGATAAATATCCAGAAACGATTGATCATCTTGTATCAGGTTATTGATATTGGCACCCACTGAATATAAAACCCGACATGACAGAGTGGGCCAATATCTGCACTGGAAAATCTGCAACTTCTTACGGAAAGGAAACTGAAAGAAACTGGTATGAACACCACCCAGACCCGGTTACGGAGATAGGACCTGTTACAATTCTATGGGACTACACAATACACACTGACAGAACAATCAAAGGCCAACCGGCCAGATATTGTTATTAAAGACCACAAACAAAAACGGTGCCTCCTTATTGATATGGCAGTCCCTGCTGACTGCAATGTATCTTTGAAGATATTCAAAAATTTGTCAAAATACAAGGACCTTTGAAATAGAAATCTCGAAAATGTGGCATATGGGAACATCAACAATCCCTGTTGTAGTTGGAGCCCTAGGACTGGTTGGAAAAGATTGCAGTAGACTAATTGAAGGGATTCCTTGGAAGTCCATGCCTCAAGGAGATACAAAAAAATTGTTCTGACAAGTACACAGCCCACACTTTACGAAGGGCTTTATATGTAATTTAATTTTTTTTTTTTTTTTTTTTTTTGTCAGTGGAAAGTGTCATGACGCCATTTCTAACCTTAGGTCCCCCTGGGCGGGACCCAAAAAAAAAATGTAAACGCCAGAAATCAAAGAAAAAAAATAATAATAATAATAATAATAATAATAATAATAATAATAATAATAATTAGAAATTATTAAAACATATGATTAAAATTTGCCAAAAAAAATGCAGATTCTGTGATAAATATTCAGAAACAATTGAAATCTTAAATCATGGTTATAACATTGGCAAAACTAAATATATTTTGGGGCGTACAACTTTAAAGGTCAATATCTGCATTAAAAAATTGCAACAAAACTGAAAAAAATTCAATAGATTGTTATGATAAAAAAAATCTTTTCAAGAACACCCTGAAAAAAAAAAAAAAAACAAAAAAGAAAACGGAATTTGGACCTTTAACAATTTTATTGAAATTTAAAAAACACATCATTAAACAATCAAATTTAAGAAAGTATTGACATCTTGATTATTTTCATAATAATAATATTTTTTAAGGCTTTCCTTATTGATATGGGATTTTTATGATGAAACTGCAATGTATCTTTGAAGATCTTAAAATCTAAAAAATGCAAGGATAATTTGAAATCGAAATCTCAAAAATTTGGCACATGAAGACATTATAATAATAGAATATTATTTTATATATATATATATAATATGATTAAATTAATAAAGATGAATAGATTCAATGAAAAAATTCCTGGGTATATGAAAAGAAAAAAAAAAAAAAAAGGAATATAAAAAATTTATTCTGTACAGAACATAATTATTTGATGAACATTTTTTTTTCAAAAAGAAAGAAAAAGCATAATGCCATTTCTGGCGTTAGGTTCTGGTTGGGAAAAGAAGGAAATAAGTATACTAACAAAAATCAAAGAAAAATTAAATAATAATAATAATAATAATAATAATAATAATAATAATTTTTAAAATAATAATAATAATAATAAGAAAAGAAATAAGAAAATATAAATTTTAAGAATAAGAAGAAGAAAAAAAAAAAAAAAAAAGGAAATATAATAATAACAGTTTAAAATACTATAAAAAAAGTATAAAAAATAAATGAGCGGAATAAGGAATTTTTTCGTTGATTTTTAAATTTACGTTACGGAATTGACATTCGATATGTCAGTTTGGACCGATTATATTTATATTTTAATATATTTAAAAATAGCCTTATATGAGAAATTTTTAGGCAGAAATTTTAAAAGTTAATAAGCGCTAATTAATAATTTTATTTAAGGATATTAACAAAAAAAAAATTAATTTCAGTCGTAAAAAAAAAAAAAAATTAAAAAGAAATTTTAATCTCTTATTATATATATATATATATATATATATATATCTATATATATATATATATATATATATATATATATATATATATAAATTTGCAAATAAAACGATATATATTTTATATATCAAGATAAATATATATATATTATGATAAAATGGAAAAATGTTTTTTTTGACGCACAAAGCAAAATAAAATGCTAACATGTAATTAAATTTTTTAACACTTTGATCATATATATATAGAATGTTTGTCTATGATCTAAAAAAGTTTAAAACCCAGGGTCACAACAAATGAATCGATTCATTCATGGAATATATATATATATATAAAATATATATATATATATATATATATATATATTTTTTTTTAGTTTTATTTTTAAAAATAAATTAAATATATATATATATATATATATATATAAATATATATTATATTTAGAATGATGAATGTTTGAGAGAATTTGAAAGAACAGAGAATGAGGATAGACTGAAAGCAAACAGAAAAAGGAAATTGAGTGGCTTTCATTTATTGAAAGAACATTGATTTATTATTTTTTTTGAATAAATTGATATAATTTATAAAGATAACCAGATAGATGAATGATAGATAGATAGATAGATAGATAGATAGATAGATATGGGATTGTAAAATTAAACAGACAGGAGAAAATATAGAGAAAAGAAAGAAAGAAAGAAAGAAAGAAATAAAGAAATAAGATAGATAGATAGATAGATAGATAGATAAAATTTTCTTCAATACATAACATTGATAGAACAATTAAACATATTCATCTTATTTCTGTTCTTATTGCTACAATTCTTCTTACCAAGGGAATTCCTTTTATCGCTTTCATCAGCTGTCTATTACGCGAATAAGTATCTACTGAGTTACACCTCATTTATCCCGCCACACAAAATTAAAACATGTTTTATTAGAACAGCTAAAAGTTCTCTTAATAAAAAGTGCTTGTATTTAATAATTACCTTCTTGCGACAACTAAGATAAATTAACTCAGGTAATACACTTTGTTTTATAGGTACATTGAATTTTTTATTTATTTATTTCACTTCTTGACTAGTGTTCCTCATTTTAGAGAGGAACATTATAGTGGTCAACTTTACGACTTTACCATCAATCAACACCTTATCGGTCTACACGACATCATTCACCGTTCTACGACAACAGCTAAGCGCCATCAGCTTGCCTCGCAAGACAGAGACCATCCTCACCCCCCTCGCCACGATCATCAATAACAGTCCGTCAAGTCATACACTGCCATCTACATAATTACGAAATTCATTACTCACCAGCCTTGACGGATTTCCCATCAATTCTTTCCCCACTTTCTTTATTTTCTTTAAAGTGTATTTCCCCCCTCTCATTTATCTAAGTTGCAGGATTTTCACACCACACATGATACTAACTGCTATTGACACACCATCGATTATAGTATATACCCTTTCCCGTGCGCACAGCTACCCCTCAATCTATTCTGTGCTTCCAGTGACCAACTCCCACTCTATTGCCCTCAATCAAACCAAGACCATGTCCCAACCTCAACCATCATGTAACAGGCTATCCTAGTAAAGCATTGCATAAGCGACGGTGACCCCTTATTTTTCCAATCCCTGGCCTTTAAAAAATATATGTCATACCAAAAGTGAGATATATATATACGATATATCGACCAGGTTGACAGCTGTATTCTGCAGAACATTACAACGGCCATCTACTGACAAGCTGACCACTTGACCAGTGTGCCGGTCCTTGGCATGATAGGCCGAGCACTGAATCGACATTACCATTATATTTGTCCAAAAAATCTCAAATAACATAAGTTACATCGGGCACGCCACAACCCTCTCCACGGTTTCTTCAGATTCAATTTTACGCACAAAGCTAAACGCAGAGACTATACGGTTGGCATGGACTGTGTAGGGGTATAAAAAAAAAGCTTTTGAAGGGTAATACGTCTCAGAATGATTAAAATATTTCCCCTTTAATCAGGCACGCCATCTTAACACGCACCATTCACTCCACGGCACTTCGGTGCTGTGGTCTTCATTCGAGCTTCTACTGATAATTTTACCGTTTGAAACTGATTTTCTAAGAGTGGCGTAAGCCTTTAAAAAAAGACGTAACTTAGACGGGAAGATTTTGGAAATTCGTTCGTAACATTTTTAAAGAGACTCTTTTGTGGAAAATGGTCTAATTGACTCTGATCGACTTCAGTGTCATGATTTTCATTGTATGTGGCATTAGGATTTTTCTTTACGCAGTCACAAACAACTCGAGTTAGTTGTTGCAGGTGCACAACTACACAGGATTTGTAATTCAAATACACAGTGATTTCTATCGTTAACAAAAGGAAATTAGACGGCATTCTAATCGTACAATTATACAGATTTTTTTGTTAATAACAGGATAAAAGTAGGCTACATGTCATTTAATAGTATAGTTTAATTACTTTATGTTGAACTAATTCTTCTTCTAAATTACGTGTCCTTTCATGATATTCGTAATTATGGGGTTCCACAACTTCTTCGTTTTTCGGTCTTAACAATTTATATATTTTAAATATACCTACATTTCTTATTTCTATCCCCCATTTAAACAATATTTGTAGTCGGTAATTCATTGTTTCTCTCTGACCATCTTCACTTTAATATGTCCTGTGAGTGTTAAAATTTCCAAGTGCCCTTTCATTATTATTCGTCTATGTATAAGGGATCTTTTGTTTCCAGTTTCCTTAAACCTTTCTCCTTGCTTGCAGGCCTCGTACATGGTATTCTCAGCATCCTTCTGTAGAACTACATTTCTATTGAATAATGTCTTCTCTTCATCCGTGAGGAAATTTGCCAGTATTCTCTACCATATCGGAGAATTGATATTTCATAGCTGTTCAGTACTCTATTTACATCATTCGGATTATTGTCCTCATCTTTGTCGCCATATTTATTACAATGTTTCGACCGTACGGAGCAAACAATCTTTAACACATACTAAAATTACGTATATCATAAAGTGGCAGAAAGTATGAACAGATCCGTGGGAAGTAAAGGATGACATGGCACTAGTAATAAAAAGGATTCGCAATAAAATGTGACATATCGCACTCAACGTGACAGTATAGTGATTTTCCAATGGCAGATTAGATGTAGCACAAGGATATATATATGACAAAGTGTAAAAAGTTAGGTGGTTGGAATGTCGAACTGAACCCTTTATTTCACTCACTGGGGTAGAATGTTCTAGTTCCACGTGCCATGTTTAATGGATGTCAGTTATCAGTTATCTCCTATTAATTCCTCTCTCCAAGTTCTCCGCCGCCTTAACCGGGTATTGAACTGAGTCCTGTCACTGGATCTAATCAAACGCCTTTATCCACTGTGCTATGTGCCCTTGAAGAAGGCCGGAGCGTACAACGGCCGAAACGTTGTAATAAATATGGCGACAAAGATGAGTCCGAATAATGTAAATAGTGTACATAATGCCTCATCTCAGAAATATAGACATATGCTGTTCAGTACTATTTTCATTCTTTCTAGAGACATTGTCATGCTTCTTAGTACATTTCATATGGAAGCAAGGCCTCTGATCAGGAGATTGGAGGTTTTGAGGAGCGTCGAACCACCTCTTAATTGATGTTGTTCCCAGGTCCACATTCACGCGGTGTGGTAGGCCCTGTTAGTGTCTAAGCTTTGTGTAAATGAACCTCCAAGCAGAAAAAAAAACCATATGAAACTATAACAATGTATTTTTGTTGTAAAAATACCAACAATGCCTATTTATCGTAGAATTACCAATCATACTTTTTGCAGAAAAATGACCAAACAAACATTTTATCTGTAATTGAAGGCATTCAAAATATTTAAATTTTGGCATTAAATGACCCATCGCGGTTGATATTGTCATTAAAATATCAACCAACTAACTATACCTATTTATAGTAAAATTACCAACAATATATTTTATCTGTAATTGAAGGCATACAATTGCATCAAAAATATATTTAGTTGAAATAGTGTTCAAAATATTTAATTTCGGCATTAATTAACTCAAAGAGATTGCTATGCCACTAAATAAAATCAACCAACCAAAAATACCTATAAATACACAATACCTATCTACAGTAAAATTAACAATAGTATTTATTTATAATAAAATTACCAACAATATATTTTATTCCTCAGCTGAAGGCATAACAATTGCATACAAAATATTTAGTTTCTTTTGTAACGTACGGTGGCCGTTAACAATTAAGTATAACTCAAGACATCAATATTAAAAGAAAACAGTATTTAATTACAACCGCAAATAAATACTTAACAAGAACAAAGAAGTAAAAGTCAACCGAAGATAATTAACCATTTCAGTGAATACCTTGTTAGTAGCGCGGCTCGGCTTAACGTCAGGTAAATCTTAAATCAAAACCCAGTAAAGCAAACAATAATTCACACTAATTCGACTGGATAGTTCCAATTAATAGTCACTCAATAATCACTACAGTCAGTAGCTGACGTCGCTATTTCTACACCTGGCGGAAAACATATATTCATATGTCCAGAATGTCACGCTCGAATCTCGGTGATAGTTGCATAAATTAAATAACCATAAATGTTGATATGATGCTAAATAAAATCAACCAATTAGTACTTTGATTAACTTTTGGAATGCAACTTTTGCCATTCCAATCCACCTTCGGATTTCGATGTTACATTTTCTGTTCTCTGTTACAAGTTATGCATATTTGAACTTCTGTATTTTTATTTATTTTGACCCCTCTTATTCGTAGTTCGCTCCTCGAGCTGCCATTTTTGCTGACAGTCATACATTCTGTTTTCTATTTAGTCCTTTCTTTTTTCTTTCCTTTAGTTTTCCATGTGTGCGGCCTTGTTTTAAATAACGATTGTATGGATTAAATGAATATATCTAACTGCTATTATTATATTAATGTCCCTAATTTATTTTTTTCATATTTGGGTGTACGGCCAATGTTTCGTCACATTTGGTTGCAGAAACAAGCCTGATTGCACATTTTGCCGGACCAACAGAAACCACTTAATAACTGCCCTATAATATATCTCTGACCTACGAATTATGCTTCTCTACAATCACCGACAGTTTGAGCTTATTATTAAATCAAAATCAAAGATGGCTGGCTTGTGACTAACACTGGCATTCACGGGTAAACTAAAAACACACTTCGTAATAATGTCCAGATTAAAAGAGGTATTACATTACCAGTCACGGAAAAATGCATTTTATTCTTCGCATTTATATACAGAGCCCCCGTAGATGGTCACCTCGAGGCGGTGTAATGGTTAGCAAGCTTCTCTCAGTAAAACAATTACGAGTGACTTCGATCCTCACATGGTGTCCCATACTTTCGTCCTTGTGCTACGTCTAATCTGCCATTGGAAAATCGCTATACTGTCACGTTGAGTGCGATATGTCACATTTTATTGCGAATCCTTTTTATTATTAGTGCCATGTCATCCTTTACTTCCCACGGATCTGTTCATACTTTCTGCACCTTTATGATATACGTAATTTTTAGTATGTGTTAAAGATTGTTTGCTCCATGTAAAAATGTCTCAAATTTTTCGCTGAAATAATAAAAATGTCTCAAATATGAAATAATGTCTTCAATATGAAATAACACAGCTTATATTAATTGGGTGGAACAAATTTAGCAAAAATAGAGATGTAATGAAAAATGGTTGGCTTGTTGATTTTGTTTAGAGGGATATCCACCGCTAATGC